ACTCAAAAGTTCTATAAAAATAACTGTGTGTTTTTGGTTACAGTATGAACTGTTTATGTAAATATTTCTTGTTTTAATTTTTCGATATTTTGGTATACAAATTTAACTTGTTACAATTTTTAACTTCAAGACAATTTGAAAATGTTTGAGATTTTTATAAAATTTGTCACAATCTGTTATGTTTATCTACTGCTATTATACAAACTTATAACGAACCTTCAATTACATTTTTAAGAGTTTTAACCCAACAAGTACAATTTTTATTATACCGGTCTGAATAAGTTCATGGTACGAACTAAAAATATGTTAAATTGAATCTAAATAATTTTTAAATGATTGCGTTATGTATTTAGTTTTTTTACAAGTAAAAAAAGAATTTGCAATGATATGCGCCGAAGAGAAATCCCGGATCATCAAAACAACCTTTTGATGAAGTCGTCTACCACTCTCTGGTTAGGAGCAAATCGTGTCATCCTTTACACAGTGCAGGCGCACCACTCAACACAGTAAAAACCTCTTTATACCGAATCCTGCGAGCGACAACTGCATGGACTCCTTGTGACTCGCGATCAGTGTGTTTTGTTATTTTGATTCGAGTATTTTGTGTCACCTAAAAATTCTATAGCATAACCCGAGTCAGGAAAGCCATTTAATATAAAATATATTATTATTGACTGCGTCATATTATTACATTATATGCACATATCACATAAAATTATATTATACGGTGCGTTTGATCAAATTCTCGAATGCCCGACCTCGAGAGCACTCCAAACACCTGGAGGAAGGTAATACCCTAATTCTAATATTTGCCCCTGGTATTATTCACCAGCATGAATAAGTGTAGAGAATCATAGAGATACTTAAAGTCAACATCAGATTTTAATATAATTATAAGCCGGAGCCACATTTATATTTATTTTATTTTCGCGACATTACAAACTGTTGGGATATAAATAGTGTATTTTCGTTTTTTAATACCACTCGAATATCCCTAAACTTTGAACTTCCGTCGCTCATTATAAATTACATTAAAATAACTAAAATCGCAATCCTTGGTTAAAGAATGTCACGAATAATTTTTTCCACAACCTATGTATTATTTACCCGATAGGTCTTACGACCTATTGTACATACTTAATAATATGTACACAGATATATAGGCGAACGTAATAAATATAAGTATAAAACGTATCGATTCAGCCGTTTATATATAACGAAATTTATTCAAATCGATCGCTCAAAACGAAAAAACCTTACACCTTATACCTATCTAGGTGCGATACGAAACAATCTCGAGCGGTCTTATAAACTAATATATAATAATCGGATCAAATGTATTGCGAACCAGCGACGGGTCGTGATAAAAAATTATTAGGCGAGGACCTACTTTCGTTTATTTGATTTTTTTTTTTTTGCAGATGATGTGTGTACACGTAATACTACTACTACTACTAACTATAATAATAATAAAAAATAGAAAATTAATCCTATCGCAACCACCTACCAGCTATACATGTAGGTATATATAATGTGCTACACGACGCTTACATTTTTTATGTATATGTAGTGTGCGGCGTGTTATAAGTCGCGCATACATATTGGCAACACGATTTCGACATATAATTCGTATAGATCCTTCGGGGCAGGATCCGGTGGTGCCGTGCTGGCGATATATACTTAAACACTATATATTACACACGTTATTATCATTATTATTGTTAGATAGTAGGTACTATTGACGTGTATCATTTACCATTTTTTTACACCGTCTCTCTGAAGGTTTGAACTTTCATCGCGCGTTTACGAAATGTTTTTTTTTTAAATTACCTACTCGCGCGTATACATCATAATACGTGTATGATACCTACCTACATATTATATTCTTATATACGCATAATATTCTGTAAGCGGTATTTAGGTGTCCTATAATAGGATTCGTTCTAAATAATCATATTTTTATGTATTTTGAAGCATAACGTATATTTTTTTTCACGACGTGCCACTATTTATTTATTTTATTTTATTTGTATACATTTTAGGCCAATCGGCAGTTAACAAAGCTACTTATATGTATAATCAATAACAATTAAACAACAGAAACATAATACAATAATAAGAAAAACGCACAAATGATTTAAGTGGCCAGAGAATGGAGCTAAAACAACTAGGACAAATTTCGATTATTTGGAGCATTTTGGGTAGTGAATGATTGTAACCATAGACAGTAGAGTGGTGTGGGACATACAACTGGATTAGATTTCGTATTCCAAAGGTAGGGACTTAGAATACAATTTAAGCAAGTAAATTATAGGAGCTTCGAAGGTACCATTTAGAAGGGAAGTTAAAAAGTATTCATCATCTGTATCTAAACTTGGAATTCTTAAATAATATGTATAACATTATACTTAAATTTTAAAGACCACATTTTTAAGCTCTTTTGTACTGTAAAGTATTTAGAGGATAATTTTTTTTGAAAACCTCGATCTATCAGAATTATATTTCAAACGATTAAGTTGGAGTTATTTAATTTTTCGTACTAAGGATAATTATAGGACCACGATAATGGGCTATAAATAAATAGGTTAGAAATGGTAATTTGAAAATCATAATAGCTAATATTAATCAATAATTTTAGTTTTTAAAAATGGTACTGATATAATAAACACTAAAACTATTATTACCCCAATTCTATATATTTTTTAAAGAATTGTTAAGGACTATTATTCTTATTGTAAACAATTTAATGACTGCCAAACAACTTGTTAGTATTCTGAACTAGGTACATTAAAAATTCCCATGATTTCATATTTACACAACAAATGAAGGCTCGAATTTGAAAAACAGCAGTTTGTATCACCACAGAACACTCTTCTAGTAGTGTATAAAATCTCAAGAATTTGAAAATGCGGTCTCTCATTATTATAACAAATTGTAATTTAAATAAAATTATTTTTCTAAAAATGTTAGTAGATAACGTATAAACTAAGAAATTTCACTGCAATGAACCATGTTTCTACCTCATCCTAAACAGAATGTTGAAAATGTTTTATCGGAATCGGACCAGAGCCGAATTTGTTCCGGGAAAATGTTTCAAACTTTATACTGAAAACGTTGCACGGGTGATAAAGAATACACATTTACGATATTTGTTTTGATCGTGATGATGACCCCGTCACATTATAGATAGGCAACATATTGTACACTTCTGTCGGTTAGAAGTTTAAAAGTTAGAATACCTGCAGAGCGGCGTAAGACACGTAAATACGTAATAAACGTTAAAACTTATGAATGAATTTGAATTTTTTTTAGGCCACTATCCAACTATCAAATTTCCGGATGACAAAAGTTTCTTTCAACATGTCCCCAAATTTCGGGGTTTTCAACGCTTTGTGCTGATTTCTGGTTCCGACAACCACTTTGGGAGAACCTTATTGATCACGGTGTTTTCCGAACAAAAAGTCGCATTAAAAGATGATTTTACTCTAATACATTAATATCAAATGAGGGATACTAGTTACCGGGAAATTGGCAGCAACGCTGTCACAGATGCTCTCCGAGATCTAAGGCCGCCTTATATAGCCCCTATCGTACGGGGGAAGAAAATTAATTAAATTATTTCTAAATGTCCATCAGAAGTTTAGATGTATTTTTAGAATTATCATTCAAACTCTAGATAAATAAAAACATATAGTGAACTATCGTGAAAATATTGCATGTAACTTAGGCAGAGCCCTACTTAGGAATTTTAGGACTCTGGGCCAAATTTTAGGCAAGCTTTTCTAACCTAAATAATAAATTCAGTTTTGTTGACTCATAGTATATACTATATTGTTTTGTTATATTCAATTTATTTTTAAGATAATAAATAAAACGTATATGACTGTATTACAGTAATATATGGGGGGGGGGCTAATTATGTCGGGACCCGGAGCTGTAGTCCACCCCACCACAAGAAGTAGTACACTGCATTTATAGGTATGATCTATTTTAAAATTTAAATAATATACAATTTTAATTTGGACCTTAAGTGTCAGTATTGCACTGATCGGACATCGGTCAATTGTCAAATAATTCTTATCGATAAAATGGCTGTAACAATCAAGGGAACATCAGGGAAATATTTGTCGATTGACCGATGACAAACCAGCGTCGTAGTTTATGTGGCCAGAACGGATTTCAGATTTATTGTGGATATTTTAACTGGTACAAATACTATAAACGACAATACGGAACACTGGCAAACAGCCTAAACATTTCTTATCAAAATAAAAGATAAATAAATACTATTTTCCTCTCAAATTATTACAGCAGCAGTTGCTTGTTTTACTACTTAAGGGACATGCAAGTGACCTGTTTTATGTTCAAAAACATGACTCACAGGAAAAATTCTTACGCCTCGTAGAGTGATCCGATTTCTATCGTTTTTTTTTTTTGAAAGACACGACCACTTATGCATTGGATTTAGATTTCCCAAATTCTATTTCTAAACCATATGTGTAGTTCGATTTTTAATATGACCAATTTTTTCAAGTGTTTGTTATTTTCATGAAGTACGCCTGGTTTAAGCAATAAAATTAAAAATATAAGTCCAATGCGCAGTAGAAAATTATCCCTTTCAAACGAAACACATAGTAATCAATGATTCGTATACGTTTGGCCTGTAGAGCGTGTTCTGAGAAAAAAATAGCGCTTTTTATTTTTGGTTGTTGAAATGGGAGATGGGAGCGCTTTTACCGCATGAGTAGTTAGTCCAGTATACCCGCATATAAACACACTCATACTAATCATTAACCATCATTGATGACTAACACAAATGCCACAACTGGTCGGCCACCGGGTCCACAAAATTTGAATATTTGTCATAGTATTTGAGTAAAAGCTATGAAATAGTAATTTTTGACAAATTTAACAATTCATGTTCACAAAAAAAAAAATATATTAATTAAAATTAGTAAAAAATTAATTTGATAAGTATATAATTTACTGTGAATTGTAACTAGCACTTTGGGTACTAGAAATTTGTGAAAATAATTCTCAAAACACAAAACATTATTATTTAAGGATGAATTACAAAAAAATTAGAAATCAACAAAGAAATGTTTTTGCTTCTAATATGGTCGACGAGACATAAACTTGTTCAAGTCTAACCACCATCATACGATTGTGCATATAAATATTCTTTCCAATTAATGTTATACTGTTGCATTATTTTTTGAAACACATCAAAAATCCCTTTACCTGAACTATCATCGTCAGTTTCCAAAGCAATTAATCTTTCTTTGATTTTTCCCATATAGACATACCTTAACACAAATACTACTTGTTCCGAGCTCGACAAATCAGTAGTAGTGTCTATAATTATACAAAAAAATTGTGATTACTTAACTTCTCCCAATATTATTGAACAAACATACTCTTTCATAATATCTAACAATTTGTTTTGGCTTACATTTAATAGATAAATTAAATTGTTATTTACATATTATTTTAATTGTTATAGAATATAGATTGAGTCCAACAATAGGACAATTCTAGGATTCGCTCACACCATCTTAATAGCCTATTGTGCACAGTGCACACTTTTTAAGAATACCTCTGACATATTAAGTGTTTTAACATTTTCTAAAATGTGTACAATTTTAATGATTCAATACATTTAAAAAAAATAATAACATAAGCATAGTTTTCTTAAATTATTGTTATTTGTTACTATTTACACTTACATGTTTTCAAATGAACTAGAACTTGCAAATGTAAATATACTTTAATCAAACTTAAATTATCAACAATAATCATTTATTCCCAAATTGAATAATTAATGGCTTCTCTTCAAGTATAAGGCCAAGATTTTCTTCTAATGCTTTTTCTGCCACTTCAATTTCTAAATATTTTTAGTAAATTAAAAGTTTGTTTTTATTTTAAGCACAATGGTGTATAAAAATAAATATTTTTTATTTCAATAGAACTATTATACTATGTTCCATATTCTACAATCTAAATTTTAAACTCCATGATTATAAAATTACACCTTCTGCTTTAATTTATAGTTACACATAAACTTATAGAAGTAAATATTTATGAAAATAATAATTACTTTCAAATTCAATAAAAGCTTGTCCCTTCATTTTTCCCTTTTTCATATATCTATAAACTATGTCAGAATTTTGCAATGCTTTGTATTTACCAAATACAGATATCAAATGTTTTTCACAAACACTTTTGGCAATATTTTTCACATACAATACCTAAATATAAAAATAATAAACTTAAACACATCTACTTTTATTAATTCTAAAAAAATATTTTAATATTTACTTTTGATGGGATTCCTTTTTGATAATTTTTAAAATGAGGTAAAGTTTTCAATTGATCTTCATTCATTTTAGTATAATCATTTATTGGAACTGGGGTACCACTAGCAACAAAACGCTGACCATTAATAGAGCTTGATAAATCATTCATTTTATTTTTTTCATTTATCATTTCTATTACACCAATGCACTGCTCGGTACGCTTAGATGCTTCGCATGTATATAATTTTAAACCAGAGTTTGCTGTACAATCTTCTTTTAAATCCCAAAGAGATTTAGGCCTAGTATAATTTTTTATTGGCTTTTCAGATATCTAAATTTAAAATATAATATTAATACAAAAAAAAAGTATTAATTGTAATTTTATTGATATTATTAATTGCATTATATTATAATATATTATAACACGAGTATAAATGGTAACACAGCTAAAACATAGGATCTTAATCTAGTTTTAAATATCAAAATAAAATCACCTCAATTGGTTTTATATAAGATTGAAGTAATTGTCTTCGTTTCCGTCTAATCATTTTTGAAGTTTTAAGTGGCGAAGCTTTGAGATGAGAAAATTGTTCATCGTGTATTTGAACAAGATGATTGATTGGATGATCAATATGATGTACATTTTGTTTAAGAGTTTCATTTGCTTCACATGATAATGCAAATGCTAAAAGTTTAGTTTCAGTACTATTAGGTTTGACACATAATGCTAATTCCCGTTCATGACGACTCAAACAACTAAAAACAAGTAACAATAAGATAAGAAATAGCTTTAAGATTAAAATGTTGTAAAAATAATTCTTATTACTCTGAAACTTTTAAAGAAGGTTTTTGGTCAGAATTATAATTTAATTGATTGGAAGATGCTTCATTGACTTTTGTACAAAAATCTGGCAGTGTAATTTCTCCTTTGGTAATTTCAGTAATGGAAATGTACTCATGGCTGGTTATAAAATTACGCTCTTGACTTAAGTGCCTAAAAATTAAAATAATTTATTTTAGTACCTAATTTTTATTTTACAAAATTGTTTTCTGTTATTTGTTATCATTAGGAAAAACAAAAATTAAATATTTGTAATTTATTATTAAAATGTATAAAATAAATATTACTTTTCTAGAGTTAAATGTTTATCAGTTTGTTTTGAAGATAATTTTTTTATCAACAAATCGCCTTCAGATTCAATATGACTTTCAAGACGTTCAAAATCAGTTAGATTCAAGTATTTGGTAGAATGTTTTGCTCTGTTTTTTTTTGCTGCATCCATATTGGTTTTTAACTAAAATAAATATAGTAATATAAATTAACCAAAGAAATTATATTGCTTAGGTAATTTAGGTAGGTACCTATGACAAATAAATAATTTTTTTTTTAGGTATCATAAATACTAAAATAAATAAAATTATAAAAGCACAGCTAATTTATATCATACTCACACTTACAGTAAAACATGTAACAGTAAAAAAATGTCTAAAATAATAAAATTACTAAAATTCAAAATAAATAATATTTATTTGGTGTTCCTGATAAGTGATAAGTGATAAGTGATAAACCAGCAAAATATAGAAAAGAATGATAGATAGTAGTTAGATAATTGTTGTGGGTATACCATGGTTAATGAAGAAAAAAAATTCAAAGAGATTATTATATTATTCTTTGAAATCTGATAGCGAAATTACATGTCTTATCAATTTTTAAAACCTAATAAAATTAGAAAAAAATAATGTGCGATTTTAAATTTTAATTAAGCTTAAAAATGAATGTTTTTTTTTAATATCAAATAGATAGTTACGGTATAGTATCTTACAAATATGCTGACTCTACGTACAGCTAACCGTGTTCTGAAAGTTTTGAAAACCACCCAAAGTAAGTTCATTTAATATTAATTAATAAAATATTGGTATCCATTTTTAAATTTTGAATGTCGCTAAAATATTCAATGGACATGTCATATTTCGATCATTTTTAAAGGAATTTTTTCTTTTGTAATACTATGTTGTTTAATTTAGACATCTCTTCACGGTGACTTTGATCTACGATAGTATAGGTAAAAATTATAATAATTATCATGTATAAAATCTATTTGAACTCCAGTATTCCATAGTACTATATTAGGCCAGTCACTTTGTCTGTAACTTAATTCATTTTTGTCTTTCTTTTTCACATGATTTAATATTTTGTGATTCTATTTTTTAAAATTACAATCATTAATTTGTGTTTCTATATTTTAACATGTTGTAACTTGCAATACCTAAAAGTTTCTTTTACCTTCAGTAAAATTAATATTTTTTTTATTGACTAGAATGCGAACAATCATTTCATAGATGGTTAGGTCCAACATTGAGAGAATTGAAACGCAGGAAAGATAGTCAAGGCCCTGAAAAACCAGTTCATCGTAAAACATTCCTTGAATGGTGAGAATAAATATTTTGATTATTGACTTTTATAATAATTATTATTATAAGTATAGAGAATTGATAGTATTTATTTGTATTTGCTTTATCTAGGAATTATGATACTGAAATCTATGCATTCGGTAAGCGTTTAGGGGAAGAGTTCAATAATAATTTGCTGCAACAAGCATTAACTGAACGTTCATATATTATTCGTGAAGAAGAAAGACAAAAGAATGTTGGTATAGAGCAGCCTACTTTAAATTTATCTGATAATAAAGAATTAGTGTCCAAGGGTTCAGATTTTATCGATGACGTAGTTAAACGTTATTTGCGTACAGTTTTACCTAGATTACCAGAAGAAGGAATCATGTATGTATATTCTAAAAGTCTAAAAAGTATTGGTAGAAGACTATTTAATTGTTTCTTTGTTATTTCAGAGGAATTCACAAGTATTTAACAAGTATTGAAACACTGTCTCATGTTTCATTCCATATTGGTGCATCTGAATTGATTCTTTGTGCTGTTAGTATAAAATATGAATACCAATGTTAAGACATTATTATTTTAAATATATAATTGGTTATTATGTTATATGTGTAGGAATTTCCAGTGGAAAAACTTACTTTATCTAATGTACTGAAATCAATAACAGCTGCGTTGATGGAAAGTTCTGGTGATAGTCGAGCCGCATTATTTGTGCGTGATTTTATTATAACACAAATCGCTGATAAGGACTTGCATCAGTTTTGGGAACCTGAAGAACCTATTAAACTGTTATCAGAAATCTTAGCTAGAGATGGTATTCAGTCTCCTGAACCTAGACTTATTGGATGCTCTGGCAAGAATACAATATTAGCATGCTTTAGAGTAGGTTTATATACTCCAGATAATAAAAAAATGATTGGACTTGGTAAGTTAGCTTTTTTCTTTGAAAATTATGAATTAGACTATTCACAAATTATTTGTGTTCATTAATTTTTTCTTGGAAATAGGTTTTGGAGAAACAGTAGATATTGCTCATGAAATGGCAGCAAGAGATAGTTTACGACAATTATTTGGCACTCCGGATAACCTTTTACTTCCATTTAATCTTAAATTGGATCAGTTGTGTGCAAGTTCTGTTACAAATTTATTTGTAAATGAATGGTCACAAAAAACGCTACCAGCTCATCCATCACATTTTGAACTTCGTCAGGTCAAAGAAATATGTAATAATTAAATGTATTAACATCAAGTTAGAGTTTATAATTAAATTTGTAATATAAGTTCCATGAAAAAATAAATAAATTTTTAAAAATGTAATAGTTAAGTTTTAGTATAATTACGATTGAAAAAAATATTACAACAAACCATGAAATTGCAATACTATGTAACATCTGTTACAGACAACAAATAACGATAATGGTTATTGTCTTAAATTTTTATTTATTCTATAACATTTACTATTTGTAGACTGTTGATAAAATTTTAACTAAAAGGTTTATTTTAAGACAAAGTAGTATTTTTGACTTAGTAAAAATTAAAACTGATTGTGTTTAACTTTAATGAAAATATTTGCCAGTTATAGACAAAGTAAACTACTTAAAATTAGCTATTTTAATTTGTGATCGTACGACATACAACAAGCACAGTTGTCCATATACACGTATAATTATTGTTAAGTCCAATCAAATAATTAACAAGTAACAACTTTTGTTTAAGAAAATTATTTATATTGTGAGCATATAGAATAAATTATACAGCTTAAGTGCTCTTCTAAGGACCTGCTCATTTGTCTTTAATAAGGGGCAATATTTAGGCAATATATAATTTTGTTGCCGCAGCCTATGACATTTGTGTTGATGATTATAATTTATAAGTGATAATATGAGTGTAATTGTAAACTGTAATTTGTATGCGGGTACTGTACAATATGTCAACGGCATCGCCAAGTGCCGACCAAAAATGAAGAGCGTGATTTTTTGCTCAAAACATGATTTACAGGCATAACTCTCACGCATCGTAGAGTAGTCTGATTTTGATTAATTTTTTCGTTAGAAAGAGGATACTTTTCTACGGGACGCATTGGACTTCAATTTTTAATAATTGTGTGGCTTATTGCTGAACACAATCATAATACAAATAAAAGCTTGTGAAATTTGGTCATATCCAAAATCGTATTATACAATAATAATAATCGTATATGGCAGCGGTTTCCAAACGTTTTTGGTTCACGCCACCCCAAAAATTAAAAAAATAAATATCGCCTCCCAGAAATAAATAACTATTACGGAAATCCCTGAATCGAGTATATTATTGTATAACGTGACTTAAAGTAATACTTACATATTGAAATATTTATTTAGAATAGTTTAGACGTTTCAAAAAAATTATTGTTGATTGAAAAATATCAATATTTACAGTACGGCTCGCGCTTCACAGTTTGGGAATCGCTAATACATGGTTTAGATATAGAATTTTTAAGATACTAATGTAATGTTCCCTATAAAAAGTGTTTGTCATTTCGAAAAAAAATCCATTGAAATCATATAACTTTACGATGCGTGAGAGTTTTTTCTATAGAATCAATTTTGTGTTAGATCCTTATATATATAAAAGAACATGCCTTTTTTATGTAGCCATTTTGTGACTACGCTATTTAACTTTTTTCCAATTTTTTTTCACAGAATTTTTCCAAATACCTTCCCAAGTGTCACCACTCCACGTCGCCCAATTTTCAACATTTTGATTTTAAAGGGTCTAAATTGGTAAACATAATTTTTACGTGTAATTTGTACATCTATAGTATTCATATAATGATAACAACAGCAGTCAGCCGATAACAGGAAATACGGTATGGCACGGCGGACCGAAGGTTTTCATCTACCTGTACTCAGACCTTTTTTTTGTTTGTGTATTTTATCGGCGTGTAGATATGAATATTGATCCGAGGTGTTTCGACATGACACTACGACAGTTCATTTGTCTATTGACGGTCTTGTGTAGCAACGGTTGCAACCGCTATACTTATGACGTAGAAATACTTGTCCAAATTATAAACTACAAACTAACATAACATTTTATTGAGTTAAAGTGGCCCCTACCAGGCGCGGATTCAGTAGGGGGCGGAGGGGGCGGCCGCCCCCCCCCGTAAACTGTGTTTTGTTTAGGAAAAATGCCCAGTAAAAAGATTTAAAACTAATTTTAATACGTTGAGTGCCGCAGTCGACGGGTAGTAGACAATTGTCAATTTGTATAGGCTTATTTTTGGCCTTATAATTTACTCGGTTATCAGATCAATTCTTCCGTTTATATACGTGGTTATTCAGTGAAACGTCTTCTTTTCAACGGTGGATTCGGATTTTATTTTCGTTCATTTTTAACAAGTAATCGTTATTTGGAATTTATCAATTGATTATAAAGTTGTATTAACCATAACTGTTTCGTGTAAGTTATTTTTGAACACAAATATGTGCGCTTGGCCACATATTATATTTTATTAGATATTTTATTTTGTATGTAAAATATTCGCCCCCCCCCCCTAATCTCGGGCTGGATCCGCGCCTGGCCCCTACACGATCAATATTGAAAATTTCATTTTGAGAAAGCAAAAACTACACACGGGCGAAGCCGGGTAATTCATCTAGTTTAACATAAGAGTTAATCACTTAACTTATTGGTTACTATAAAATTTAAAGATATAGGTACACTCATTATTTGTGTTTATATGTCGGTTGTTTTATGTTACATACCTACTTATTTTAAGTTTTAATTGAAAAAAATGTACAAACCTATACAAATCACTTGCTTAAAAATTGAAGTATAAAAAAAACTATGTGTAAACACAGATGATGTTTTATAATACACTCGTATATATTAAAGCTAACGATTGAAAGAGTTCAGTAGAACTTAAATTTTACCTTGTACGATTTTAAGATTGTGAGAACACTGAGAACACATAGGTATTCACAGGGCTCGAAGTGGAGGGATATTCCTGGACCTTTTGTCTGAAATAATAGTCGGACATCCCCCTTGTAATTATTTACAAATATTATCGATTAATATTGGTGTTTTTCATAAAATTTTTATTTTTAAGATGTTTTTTAAATTAATTTCATAATACAATGAACAATAATGTTTATTAGCATTATAAATATTATAACTTTTTTGGCAATAAAGAAATTCCTAATTGTTTGCTAATTTAAATTGGGCCATAGAGTGTATGATGACTATACTAATAAATCTAAAAGTAATTTTATGATAATAATAGGACTATAATATAATTATATTATATTATCTTTTCGGTTGTAGAGTAGTTCAAAGTTACAATTTTTTGATTAATTCTACAAAAGTTAGTAAATATAATTTGAACTTAAAAAAAATTTAGGTATAGTATTTAAAAGTTGTAAGTATGTACTATGTACCTATTGTACCTATATATAAATGTTTTAACCATAATTAAATAATTTATACATGTATTATATATATTATACTTTAATTGTACACTATAAATGTAATATTTGTTGTCTTAAATTTGGTATACCCATTTACTTGTAAGTACTTAGGTAAGTATAAGTTATATATGCAAAAACAAAACTAAAAAAAAAAATGTATATATTTACATAATATGTACCTACTAGTGTTTCACACATTTTTTTCATTACTTTAGGTATAGCTATTAAAACTATAAGCTATTACAAGCTAGTATATACTATAAATAATTACATAAATTAAAAATTGTATTATAAAAATACATTCATCGCTCCGCTGAAATCTAAAAGGCTTACAGGAGTGGATCTGACCCCCCAAGGAGTATGATTGTTCAAGTCATATATGAGAACTATAATAAATTAAGGGCATCCCTTCACGTCTTCTTTTGAGCCACTTCGACCACTGAACACTGACGTCCTCAGATTACGTTATTTTAATTATGATACTTTATACAAATTAAAAATAAGACAAAAGAGGTGAGCATACTTTTACAATATTGCATACTAAAAAGATACAACAAATATAATAATGTTTGAACTCTTTATTAAATTGATTTCGAATATCCAAATTGTTTAGACATAGGTAACATAAAACTTGCCCTGAACGCCACTGCAGAAGTAAAAGTCAGATGCGCATACGTCCAATATAATTATTACTTACAATATTATAAATCTGTTTATGCTATGTACCTTAATGTATATACATATACCTAAGTATAGCGGTTTCGCCGTACACGCCACAGCGTAATAATATTATATCCTATCTATTTATATAATCGTAGAAATTGTACACATTTTATTTCCTCTAAGGCCAATGGACTGCCTATGTATATAATAACTAATAAGTGCCAAGTGGTTGTGTCGTACGCGATCTTGGATCTGTCAGCAACCGGCAATAATATCATTTCACACGCGATAATGTATTGTAAGTTTTCATTATATTTATTAGTATTATTATTATTATTATTATTATACATTCTGTACAGCCTGTGTCAACAAATCAAGTCAATGTTTACTCTGCGTTTGTCATCGACGGTCGTCGTGCGCTTATTTTACAAGCCCATTCGGGTATAGGCCACTATATACAGTTAAACTATACGGGTGCAATTATTCAAAAAAAAAAAACCACACGCACATTAAATTTTATAATATACAATATCCTGTGTTATTCACTTCCTGTAACAAAAACGCCAAAACGAATGTATAGACCACCGGTGGTCGGGGGTAGAGCACGTTGCAGTCTACTGCTATATAGGTAGTTTAAAAACAACTACAATATACAAACATAATATGATATACCATATTATACACACGGTAATATACTGCACCTCAACACCTCGGCGATATAGGTAAGCAATAAAAATTAAAATGTCATTCGATACGGCTGCAATATCCGTGCAGCCCCGTGACGATTGTAATGTAGCTAATAGCTATATAATATCAGTCGTGCATAATCGCAATAGGTACAAAATTATTTCATGTACCATTGGGTTGACACACAGCAGATAGAATACTAAAACACTAGTAGGTATATATGATATATGGGCTAAATTATATGCATGGCGGCGGAGGGTGGGTGAACTAGGTTTGATATTATTTTTATAGCTCGAGGGACAACAACTATCGCTACGTCGTTACCGAATCATAAAATGATTTTCTACTCCCGGTTCTGCAGCAATTTCCCGGATAATTTGAAACCTGGTGAAGTTCTAAACGTTTCAACCACCATACCCCGGATTGGGCCGCGGGTTAATAGCCCTGCAGCATTGCGGTGCAGGACGATTGGAAACTTTTAGCCTGTTTGGTATTCAAAATCCATACAACATATTTTGTGCACTCGATATTCTTAAGAATATAGACCAGTCATTCGCTCACAATTCGATACAAAGTAGAACACGGACGATAGGTCGCCTCTGAGGGGCTAATAAATTAAATACATAGAATTATATAGGATTCTATTGATTCACATATATATTATGTAAAATGTGCCTATACGGAAGCCAGAACCTTACTATGCGTTCCGATTTGATTTTTAACGTTAATAATATAACGGTGATGATAACAATTTTCATAGAAACATAAAATATGTCATCTCTGAGGTTTTTCCCACGACTCGCATATGGCGACTTCTTATCAGGATCATGTTTTGATTAATACATGCATTTTATGTATTTAGTTCAGCGGCCATAGGTACGTCTTCACGTCTGGGCCCTATTATTTTCTCATATCGTGAAGCCGGTGCTCCCGGAATTCGTAGCTATACGTCGTGTCGTATGCGTGGTAACTACCTATATGGTTACAACTGGTAACCAATATGGCTTAAAAGTTAAGCTGAAGTAAATTCTTGGTATACCCGGTTGCAGTTCGGTTATTACACGATACTAAAAAGTTAATCTCCAATCACAATGCTATATTTGATCAACACGGCGCGGTACAAGACGTCGCAGTGAATGGGCATTAACACTTACGGGTAAGGGCACCACAGTCTATACATAATGTGTTTAGTGGCAATTTTTTTCAGGGATGTCGAGTGCCTAAACGTTATTTTGAATACTGAATAGGTGAAAATGGCCATTCGGAATTCCTGTCGCATCACAATGCAGAGCTATTTCCACGGTCCAGCTCATGGTCGATAGACTGCAGTGTCGTCATCAGATGTTCGTTCACGGCGTATCACTTAAGTACTGTTCTCGATTAACTATATTATTCGTGAGTGCCGGAATAGGTACGTATTTAGTATTTTTATTTTTATATAGTAAGACACTAAGTAATAGCTAGTGGTGAGCAGTGCATTGACCACATTCCTGCGAAACGACTGACAGCATATACGTAAATAGGAGTGGGGAGGGCTTAGGAGAGCTTAGCCTATTATGAGGCATCTTAAGACCTCCCTAAGATAATATGTTACATCGTTTTAATATTACTCAATTTACTATAACATAGCCATATAGCCATATAGCCATATATAGGTAAAAGGCTAGGTTCCAAAGTTACACGATTAATAACAGAACACACTCAAGAATTACATTATATATAATAAAAGAGGAAGATACATTACATTATTATACTAGTTGCAGAATAACCTGCAGGTTTAACCCGAGTGCCATTTTTTTGAGGAGGAAATTCTATATAGGTACTATGTTATACTCTACCAGTGGCGCATCCAGGGGGGGGGGGATTGTGAAGCTGAAAATCCCTCTCCCACAAAAAAAAACCTTTTTCATATTATGTTATACCATAGATCGTATACTTATACTACTAGATAAGAACTGTGTATACAACAATAGCACTACGAGCGGCGTAACACAACTCACAGTGATGTATGCTATTTTTACGAAAAAATTCAATGATCTATATATCTCCACATAGGTTTCTTACCCTACTACCCCGTACTACCGTTCGTACGAGTAATCGAGTAATCAAATAGTGCCCTCTATTTCGTTACTCTTTCCATACACTCATTGCTTGTATAGTAGTATAAGGTTCATGAATCATGGGTTATACAGTAATAGTATTATAGGCACAGCCCACAGATCTATAACTTGTTGTCTTATTTGTTATTTGGTTATTACTTATTTGTACCTATGGTAGTAAGTATACTATTGTATAAGAAAGCTATTTGCAGCATTGAGATACAAATGAAATTGTGACGAATAAGTTAGCAAGTGGTTTTTTTCGGTTTTGTTATGGGCCTGTCAAACGTTTCTCCCCTCCTCTCAAAAATTTAAATGACGACACTGATCGTCAGCCATTGCCTCTTTAATTGGTAACTATACAATAACAGTAATAATTATTTCTACCAAGACTGTCTGTGGTAGGTATAGTTTGTAGTTCATGTCTATTCGATTTTGAAGTTGTGTTAAATGTTTATTACATACTTATGTGTGTTCGAATTCGATTATAAGCTTAAAATCTAAATTAAATTTATTTTGCACTTATTCTTATAATAAACACTTATTCCGAAAAAAGCTCCCAAATGAGTCAAAAACTTATTACATTTTCAATTGATACATGTTTAGATATAAATATAAAATATAAATTTGCTTTATATAACTCAGGTTATGAGGAGACTATAATATAACCTAAAAACTGGGGGAGGGAGAGAGCTTAGCTGATATGTTACTGTCTGAGTAGAGGCCACTGCCACATTATTTCATCTTGCATTCTTGCCGTATGTGTTATAATGTCTCAAAATATAGCAAAATACCTCAATCAGACTCAGGCCCTGGCACTCAAATGGCTTTTCCTGTTATTATCAAGACTGTATTGAATATTCATTAGTAATTACTAATGGATTAATGGTACATAGATAGTAGGTACTATGAAATTCTATAATAGTATATTAGTATTATATGCAAATTATTTACCTATATTAATAATACAAAAGTGGTCTACAATATATTTCGTAATACAAACAATAAACAACAACATTTTTACTATGTACCTATAAGGTCTATTTTCACTAAATCTAAATGTTTATAATGTACCTATCAATGGTAAATAATAATAATATGCTAGTATATTTTTTTGTATTGCTCTTGATTCTTGAGTCTTGGGAGTATGTACCTTCTAATGCTCAAATTGTTAACAAAAATAAAAAACAATTATGTTTAATTTTAATTTTAATATTGAAACTGTAGATATATATATTAAGAAAAATATGTATGTATTTTAATTTATTTGCTTCATCATCTTTAATTACGACATTTATAAACCTTTGTAAATTGTATTGTATTGTAAACTTGTAACATATAGGCAATGCAGGGTCCCGAGTCTTAACTTAAATTTTAATTTTTAAATAAATACGAAATTAATATAGTACATTGTACATGTAACAAATTTAGTTTGGTTTATAATATTTTTTTAATGTCTAAAATATTTTGTACGAAGTAGGTAAATACCATTATTCTTGTAAAATCGATCCGAATAAATAGCTGGCCATAAATAATTAGATTCAGCCATGATTATTTTTCTTTATAAAATTACTTGATTTTTGTTATTTACGAGAATCGTTCCTTCAACGTGGTGTATTCTGGATACATTTAAGTAATTAGTAAAAACAAAACAATTTGGACCTAGATAAAATTATACAAGTATACTTAACAAATCGTCGAGTGACGATATGAAGCAGTTTACAAATAACTTCTAAATAATTTAATAACATGTTATCCGGATAAAAATGTACCTATACTTATTAGTTATTATTAAATACCGGATTTATATGCATTTTAAAATTTGAAATATGCATACATACATGCACTAAAAAAGTCAAAATATGCAAGTAAAAGATGCAAAACATGCAAAATAAAATTTCAATTTTTATTACATTTTATATTTGATTTTAATTTTGTAGTAATAATTATTTACTAGTTTTATTAAAATTTTCATAAACAAAAAGTAAGATATATAATATAACAATTATGTAATACAATAATGTAATTTGTTAAATTGTAATTTAATTTTTAATCATTGATACATTGTAAAAAATATTTTATTAAAATTAAATGGTATAGATACATTGGTGATATACTGATATAAATAGGAAAGAAGTACGAAAAATTTAATGTAGTATGTTATTGGAAAAACAATAACCTAACCTATTTTAGCGTCCGAATATTCTTTGAGATGTAAAATATTTGATATAAATATTATATAAACGTACCCATAATCGGTCTTTTTTTGCCTCAACTTACTTTTTAGATTGTTAAGTGTATAATTGTGCGGTTTTTTGTTAAAATATGCAAAAATATGCACTATAAAATTTTGATATTTAATCAATCGAGTATTGATTTGCGGACACTCATTGACAACATGTTTATGATGTTGAAAAAAGCAACATGCATTTTATGCAAAATCCGGTCTTTAGTTATTATGCATGGAAATGTTAAATGTAATCATTCCTTTAACAAGAAATATAACTTACTATAATTTGAATGTCAAAAAAAATATTTAATTATAACTATTGTTAAAATAATGAATTATATAATAGAAACGGAAAAATGTTAAGATTAAATTGGATAAAAGTTATACTTGAAAATAAGTAGGTAATACCTAACATTAATTACATTTGTTGCACTTGGAGTCTTGGACTGAATCTTTCAATATCGCTCTTAGAAATAACGATGATATTCATTATTGTTATTATACGCTTTATTATGAATCGTAAATGAAAAGTAAGCTCCGTCTGCCTATTGCGTACATTCACTTCGAGTTATTAATTCTTGCATGTATATACACCACGAAGGCGAGGTGATGACAACTTACATTGGCCCTATTTCCTGTATGGCTAGTAAAAATGTAATGTAAAGATAGAGGGAGAGAGGAAGAATAGAAAGAAATATGTGAAGTTTATAATACAAGTACGCCTGTTCGATGTGGAAGCCATCGTAGATATTTCAACAGTGTAATAAAAATTAGGTGCATAAAATAAATATAAAAAAAACTTCGTGGTCATGCACATATAACCCACAACAGACACCAGTTTTTTTTTAGTATTTTTGTAATTTTAAAATAGAATATTATTCGAAGATATAAATGGTATATTTAAAATTAATATAGGATATTATACAATAACCAAAAGACGTGAACAATTTTTTTTATGTGTATTTATTTATACTCTGTATATAATTATAATGATACCTAATACAGAAATAGGCTTTAGGTGGATAGGCTTTTTTAAATAACAATTATAGGTATCTACAATAACATTTACTTGTAAACTCGCCATTATTTAAATCAATAAGCTAGGTAATAAATCAATGAATACCGTGTAAATAAAATTAATAATATACATATGTGTAGACGGATTACAGGTAGATAGTTACAAATGTATAACTCATAATTTAAAACCAATAGTACCTATTAGTATATACTAAGAGTATACTAAGTATATTTTAGAAGTAATTCATCTGCATCATTTTTTTTTGAACAGCTCGAAAATGTATAACATATTTTTTCAACTTTTCAGGTGGCTCGTGGTTATAGACTTATAGTTACAGTGTATTTTGAGAATCAACAACATATTTCATCAGTAGGTAATAGGTAGGTATATATATAATATCGTTTATTCTGAACTCTGAAGTATTATTCTAGTACTTATATGTAACTCATACTTTATATATAGTAAGTAATAAAATTATGTATATTATGTGTAACTTGTTCTGCGTAATTGATTTATTGTTTGTCAATTCGCCATTTTTTCCCTATTAACATAATTCTAACAGTATTGAAGACAGTAACTAAAAACAATACTTAGATGATCTAAAAATTTAAATCATAATCTTACATATATATATTCTACAATAATTTGTAGTTAATATGTTATTTGTAATTTAACTTTGTCAATGTGACGTAAAATATGTGAATACGGCCACATATAAATATAAGTTTTCAGTTTTGCTAATTTTTATGTATTTCAACACGTTATTGTTTATATATAAGAAGTGCCACGAATATTTTATCTATAAGTCAAATGACAAATATTGAAGCTATCCACCCATCCGCCCACACACATAAAACTAAAATATGTCTATGCATAATTTTTTTTGCTATAAAATACATATTGAATATTAATATTATATTACAATATCAATGAACATTAATGTAACCTATATCTTTCTATAAAAATATCTTATATAATATATAACATTACCATTTATTATAATTATTACATACATGCAATAATAATGTAGCACGCGTTTTGTTAGTTAGTTACATGCTTGCTGACTCTTATTATTTAGAGTAGGTATAAATCAGTATAATATACCTATTGAATAATGTTAATTTTTCACAACATATTATTATCAACATATTACTTATTCAATAATGATAGTTAAAATTCAACTGTTAAATACAAAAAATATTTGTATTCACGAACAAAATTACCCACACACCTAAAATTGTTTAAAAAATGTTCGTACTTGTACTTTAATAAATGTACATAATATAATGTATAACGTATACATTTTTAATTAAAAATAATATTAAAACACATATTTTTTCTTAAATAGGTAAAATGATACATGAACATAATAACATCAAGTATTCATATTATATTAATATTAATTACCTTGACATTTTAAAATATATTTTATTTTTAATGCTTTACTTGACTTATAAGTAACTTATAAACGTAAAAGCATGATTACGAATTTACGACAAAATACTGTATAAGCCATAAGACCTTAAAATACAAAATTTGGATATTTTTTTCACGTATAATTGTTGAGCTGAATATAGGGCTAGTATAGCCCGGTATGAGTAACGTGTATCATCAGATATGTAGTATGTACCTACCTCCATAATGAGTTTTAAACTGAAAATTATATAAATGTGTAAGTTTCGAATTTCTAGAATGATAATTGATAATTTAAAAAGAAAGGTATAAGTTCGAGTACGAGTAAGTAAAAATAAAACTGTACATTAAATGTTTTAAAAAGCATCTACCACTTAATAAAGTATAATAGTCAAATGCGACTACTGGAAAATAAATTAAAATCTTGTAGGTATGTTAGGTGCAGTGTTAAAACATTTAAACATGTAATGCATGTGAGGGTGTGTTCAAAAGGGGGGACGAGAGGCCGGATCGAACAAAAACAGAGGGGGAACGATATGAGCACGCCCAGCCCACTTGGCCAATCCGGAACACAAGCCAATCCCTTCACCGGTGGGCTGTAAAATGTGTGAATGATGAAAAAATAGTACTACGGCGACGTTAAAAATAAAACGATTTTAGTGACGGGAGAAAACGGGATGACAGAGAAATAGACCAGTATTGGTGAAAGGTTCGCGAGTTTCGGTGTTGTTTTTTCGCCACCTTTAAAAATCTGTCCTGGTTAAATACTATAGCCACGAGTGTGTTGACAGGGTGATATTCGTTTGTTTTGCTTTGAGTTATCTGTTTAATTTTTTTTTGGGCAATAAAAAAATCATCGTCCGCATTTCACGGTGGCCAATGTACAATAATTATTGTCGTGTAAATCAGCCGCGGACGTTTTACACTTTTGTATATACTTGTTTTCCCATAGTGATGAATAATATCATTTTTAAAATATTTTTTTGCCACTGAATAAACGGTTGATACATTTTTTATAAGAGTGAAAAAAATATCTGTGTTGACAAAATAAGTGTTTAAGGGGTGGTCAGCATGCACCCGTTTTATAATACATATAGCAGTGGTGGGAACGTTGAACACCTGTATGATGACAATTGGGTAGTGCCACCATCAAATACACCGATGAAGGATATTGAAGGTAGGTGCCAATCTACATTATGTTTTTTGTGCTTTTTTTTATTTTTATGATGTTACAAACTTATGTTGGTACTTTAGAATATTGCATAAATTACTAGTTTTGTACGGGTTCTGAAAATATACCAAATTAGCTTTGGCTCGACCAAATAATATGCGTACCAACATTTATGTAATTTATAATTATTATACGAGATTTTATAATCACGCATATTTTATATAAATTAGGAGTAATCACATAAAATCAAAAATTTTAAATAGTTGACACAAAAAATTAATAACTTTAGTAGGTAACTGTACAATAAATATAAACAATTTTTGTTTAATATAATTTAAAAACTAACGACCCTCGTGTAAAATTTCATAAATTAAATTTCTTATTTCAATTTTAAATATTGACTTTTTTACTGTAATACATTAATTATAATTGGAAATTGTATTTTGTTTATAATATATAATCTATATAAATTACTAATACTAAATTCCCATGAAATATGATCATTCATTTATGGTATTGGTAGGTACGATATGGATTATTATTTATTAACGTATCAAAAACTGCTTATAAATTAATTAAAGACAGCTCATATATTAGCCATTAGGTATACATAATATATATTTATGTATCTATTATATTATTTTAATTTTAATGTAGATATAATAGAATATAGTAAAAAGTTCAAGTATTATTAATTCTACTCTATATAATATAATGTATAGTATAATGATCGACGTATTTAATATTGTAGAGACTATGGTTATATATATTTTATTGCGTATAGTAGCCATTATGTGTGTTAAAACTATATGTTTTATTTTAATTTTTAATCGTTTTTTTTATTGTTATGAACATTTTAAATTTCAAATTATTTTAATGTAACAATATTATATACTATTTACTACATTACTGACTACTAAGCATACCCGGTACACCTAAATACACCCTTTTTTCAATTCAATAATTTATTATAAGTGATATAATTTTATTTGATACATTATTTAAAATACAAGTGTGCCAATATTGAATTTATACTACACCTTCAGATTCGGATAATTGGTGTTTTGCCAATAGGTTTTTTAGATTCAAGTTCAATCAATATAATATATAAACAGAGATATTCATATAGTTATAGTTCGATATAGGCAATAAATAATAATTCTTAATCTATATCTATTATTAGTGATGGGCACATTCAGATTTTAAAAATCTGGATTATTTTTTTATTTTCGATATCCAGCTCAATTTTGCAGTTCAATGACCCATTTTTACAACCTAATACATTTAATTTCTACTAATTTTTTAAATATATATCATTTCCGACTCATTATGACAAGTCCGGTATTTGATTTTTTGTTGCGCTAGGTCAAATCATAAAACCAAATCCATGAATCCGGATAGTTCAGGAAATCTAGATTAGAATTTGATTTAAATCCTGATTTAGATATCCTGATAATCGTATAATTCAGATATTTGAATTTCATGTCCATCCCTAATATTTATAAAACCTTAAATTATTATAATTTCAATTATATTGTAGGCATTTAAACAATTTTTACAATAACTGGAGATAGGACTTGGTTGGCTACCGAAAATGAACATATTTTCATTTATATAAAAGTTCCCATTCGTAACAGAAATTCTTTAAGACGAAATAAATTAATACTTAATTTACCAAATGCAAAACCCAAACTTTAGGGGGATGAGGTGACCGAGTGGTCTGACGCGTCCGCTGCGACGCAGCCGGTCGCGGTTCGATCCTCGGCTACCGGGCGGCATTTTTCTCCGGACAAGTCGCGGTGACCGGAGAACAAGTGCTGCCATCCCCCACCCCCGGGGCATGGCAGAAACCTACGGGTGCCCCATTCGAAATTCTGCCAAAAATAAACACACACGTGTTCCCCCCTACCGTCCCAAAATATACAATACAAACAAACCTACAATACAAATCCTACTACAGCTAATGGCCTCAGTTGCCGAAGCTTAAGATCAAAAAAAAAAAAAAAAAAACCCAAACTCCCTCAGTAGGAATCGTGGAACAATAAAACCGAGATAGACCTAAATAGCACCATATGTCCATATTTATAACAATTGTTCATTTTTTTCCCTGAGAAAAGTTGGATTGTATACAGCTAATATAATATAAATTACGAAATTATAGTTTAAACAATGAGTAAATTGCTTTAAACCACAAACTTCATTAAACACTGTACAATAAAAATGTATTCAATTCAATAATAATTCAATTTAAAGAATTTGTTTATCTCTACTTTCAGCACCTACTGGCTACTCGTATATAATATGATTCTAGCTAATAATGCATTATAATTCATTATTATTAAATAGGTATATTCCCTATTTGAAGGCCTATTTAATAGTCTTTCACATGTTTAATTTATTAAAAGTATCAAATGACTCTTATTATTTCGTAATCGTCAATATTATGTGAATATGGATGGTGGATGTGTTTTAATGAGGAGTCTGGAGTGGTTACGACTCCCTAAACCCACTTTCTTTATATCCAGCCATTGTATTGTACATATGTAAATTCAATCTTGACAAAAATATTTTTTCTAAGTATAAAAAGAGTTGGTAATTATTTTATAAAACAAAAGTTATAAAACATTGTCAATATATATACGGTATACCACTTTCCAACTACTATTTACTGTACTATATTTTATTTTACTATACTTATATTTTTTTTAACATTAAATTGCCGATTTCGTAATTTTTTTATTCACCTACACTTTTAGTACAAATATATTTGTCTAAATTATTTAAATTTTATCAAGAAATTTACTTTAGCAATAAATTTCAAAATAAATATCTATCAAAAATAGCTGCCAAAAAATGACACTTGGAAATGAAGACTATTCACAAATAATTTTAAAGATCAGATATGGAATTGAAAATTATATGTATTTGATAATTTTAACTGCGTTCAAATAAAATAAAATATTATTTTAGTTTTAGTTTTAAATATATTTTTATAAGTGCAGTCGGGCAGATGTTTTTCGTAGTTTTTTTAAAACTTTTATTAGTGAAACAATTGCCTTAAATTACTGTCTTTGACTAATTATTAAAATATTTCAATTATTATTAAATATCTGCAGCTATGATTCTACTTAATATGCAATACAGTATTAGTTTTAACATTTGAGTATAAAAATTAAAATAATTTATATATTTCATTAACTATATACATTTTTGTATAAAATAATAAATATTAATGTGAAATCATGTTAATTGTAAATAATAATAAAAAAATGTATTTGTCTACAGCATGTTTAGAAACTGTATCGAGTACAAATATACAAGCAATTAAATCGACTTCTCATCAATCATATCTATCAGCAGATAGAAAAAGGTTGGATGTAGTGGCCAACAGTCAAGAACATCCCAAACTTTCTGGAGTTGGTGCCGCATTGGAAATGAAACACTTATGGGAAGAGTTTAACGAGCTCGGTACAGAAATGATCGTTACTAAAGCTGGCAGGTAAATACAACTATGTTAAAATAAATATTTAAGTTAATTTTTATAAATACACAATATATTTACTGCTAAATAATTAATAATATTCTTATTTTAATAAATTAAGTGTAGGGTCACAAAATAACGCGTCTAAAGTACCGTTATACCTCTTTCCTCTGTTCAGAGTTTAAAATATTATATTCATGTCTCTGCAGCTAGTTCTAAAAATTGTATTAACTGTAAAATTTTCGGAACCCGAATATATTTTTAATATTTATTGAAAAAAATTAAGTGAAACAACTTATTTTACTTAATTAATAATTGATTGTAGTCTTCTAATCTAGAAAGCCTGATTTAGACTTTCATTCACATTATTTTGTAATCCATTTCTAGCTTTCTTTTAAAGAATAATACATTTTATACATACACATATTTTAGTACCTATATATATTTATAAATGATTAAAACACACGTTTCAATATGATTTTAAAAGGGAAATACATAAGTTCTTACTACTAGACTACATACATAATTTGTCTTATTTATCTATAACTATTTCGAATTATTTTTCATCAAAAAATCTAGGTATATTTTCGAAGCGTCATGTCGGCGCCAAAGACCGCAGTGACGAGTGCCAAACACTCGAACTATTGACGCTTAAACTATACGTTTATAATATATTATCTCAATGTAAAAATGAATACCTATATTTTTTGAATGAAAATCATCTAGCAATATGTGGAGTTATAATATAGAGGATCTTATGCTCACCCTACTGTTATATTATTATCTGCTCAAAATAAAATAAAACAAACTAATTTTTGAAAATTATAGAATGAATTAAAATTATAGTTGTGTACTGTATAATACATGAATATTATTTTTACTTGAAAAATCACTTGAAATCGGACATTTTATTTTTTTTTGTATCAGTAACTCTATGAACTTTGGAGACATGAACGAGTTTATCATAGTTTTACGATATTATCATTATATTTAATAATAGTTCAAAATCTTTAAAATCTTTATATGATAATATACATAATCATAACATGTAATTTCTAATTATGATATGTGTACACAAAATTAGCAAATATAAATTGATGTCTTACAGAAGAATGTTCCCTACATTCCAAGTTCGATTGTATGGTTTGGATCCAGTAGCAGAGTATATGCTCATGATGGATTTTGTTCCTGTAGATGATAAGAGATATAGATACGCATTTCATAGGTAAATATGGATATCATATTTAATATTTTAATTTTAAAATCTATAATTGGATTTTTAAACATTGAGAGAGATATTATAAATCAAGGACAAAATGTTTAAGTTAGATTTCCAAATAATACTTTAAGTACATTTGATGTATTCTTATGGTGCCTAAATGTTATACATTAAATAGTTCAAGCTGGGTGGTCGCTGGTAAATCGGATCCTATATCACCCCCTAGAGTACATATTCATCCAGATTCACCGGCTTCTGGAGGACAGTGGTTGAAACAAGTCGTCTCATTCGATAAACTTAAGTTGACCAACAATCAGATGGATGACAATGGGCATGTATGTACAAAATAATAAAAGTTTAAACAGTAGGTAGTTGACTATAGTAAAATCACTTCTACCCATATAAGTATAAAAATGATTTCCTATATTTCACGCCGTTTTAGATAAAATTGTTTTTCTTTACCTATTCGAAAATTGTTTTTCTTAGATTATCCTTAATTCAATGCATCGGTATCAACCCAGATTCCATGTACTCTACATTCCAGGAAGAGACGAAGGCTCTTCAAATTCCACAAACAATTTTAAAACATTTATGTTTCCAGAGACCAAATTTACAGCTGTCACTGCTTACCAAAATCACAGGGTAAGATAAGTTATTTAAAACCATTCGAAATAGTTCTTTAACGAATGATGGATTACGTATTTTGTGATATATTTCAACTTTTTAAACTAGTATACACTTAATTACACTATTATTATTGTATCAGGACGTTTTAGCACAATGTTTATTTACTTCCTGCACTCTAATATTACCAATTTAATTATTTCACTAATAATACAACTACATTATTGTATACCTTTTTATTATGTATTAACTCGCGATACTTACTACCGTCTACATTTCTATTACTTATAACATTTTTCTCACTCAATGAACAACAATATTGTATAGTTTTAAACAGTATTATTTTCTGCTATAATACCTACAAGTACAGTCGCCGAGTTAAATTGAGAAATATTAAATATGATAATAAATAATAAGTTTAGTTCAAACAAAAATTACAATATATTACAAATTCAATTTTAAATCTATAAATTTGGAGAACTATTTAATTTAAGTATAAGAATAAATTATTTTAATTAACTTTTTGTTTAGATAACACAATTAAAAATCGCTAGTAATCCATTCGCAAAAGGATTCAGAGACTGCGAGACTGAAGAATGGTAATATCATATTAATATTTTATGCATTTGCATTTATTTAAATATCTAAATTAAATGGGCCATTATAAAAGCTTTGTGTATAATATATACTTGATATATTTATTAGACTAAAGAAGCTACCAGATTATAAATCTTGACAGATTTTTTTTTCCATTCTTCATTCCACCCTCTTGGAATGAGCCCAAGCGTTACTAATTGACACCGGTGTGGCTATACCGATCTTAAATATACATATTATTATACATACACTAGTAAATTAGTAGTACATTTCAAAAAAAGGTGTATATAACACAAGTCAATTAAAAAAATCCCTGTTGCTGGCAATCATTGTAGGTGCGCTCATGTAAATTGGCACATAAATAGCAATAAATGTCGGTTTATATGATTTTTGGAAAAAAAATTTCGTTATTATTTTATACTCGACACGTTGCTTTAAACATGGGAAAGTGTGAAACATGTGTGTGTGGGTGTGTGTATGTGTGTTTAATTGTATTTTTTTTTGAAGGAAGTTAAAATTATTATTTTTTTTTTCATTGCAGTGGCCCTATGTCTATTGATAGTGAACCACAAGCCGCCAATAATAAATTGCAATGCAAAAAAAATGTCACTGGAATCCATAACAACAATAATTGCGTTCAGTTCCCAAATAAAGAATCAACAGGAAGTTTGGGTATGTTTTTTTAATTTATATTTCGTATATTTTTATTAAGGAATTTATATATAGATTAATGTCCTACCGACAAAATTAAAATAATGTTTATATTTTAAACGATTTTTTTATAGATCCCATATGTATTTTTTAACGTAATAAAACAAAGCTTTAAATCTTTAAATTAAATAATTGTATTACTGAAACTAAATGTTATTTGAAAATATGTACATTTTACGAAGGGCAAGAATAAAGTAACTAATGCATACAAACAAATGTTACTTGGTTGTTTTTAAAATGTGCTTTTTAAAACAATACAACTTTTAAATCGACAAGTCATCCTCCTGAAGTAAATTATATGTTAAATCTTTCGTGTTTGAAATTTCGTTTGACCATCATCTTAATAAGTGTTTTCAAAAAATTAAAACCACAAAAAACCAAAAAAATCCTTTAAAACCTCAAAATCTAAAATAAAATATACCAAACTATAATCAGATGATATAATTGATTAACTACCAATAATTGATTAAGTAGGAGCAAATTAATCTTAGTATCAAGTTAGTAATTCTAAAATGTTTTCATTCTTTTTTATATGTTTGTTTTAAATTTTTAAAAATAGAAATATTTAACGCACCTATATACCTACTGCGGGTTAAGTTGGTGTAATATAGCGGATATATGTGTATAGTGTATACCTATCCAACTCGCTTTTGGTACATTCCTTAATCGTTTCAAGCTCAACGCCTTCATGTTGAAATTAATGTTTTAGTTTTTTACTTTTAGATGCTATTTAAATCATGTCCGTCGCTTAAAAACATAAAAAATACAATTTTAAATGACAAAAAACCTATATTATACTTAGCGTTGTACACACAATTATGTTTGCTTGCACCCGAAAACTGTCATTAATTATCAGAGTTGTCTATGGTAGTCATTTATCATAATATTTTCGAGAAACGTTAAATAGGCATACCACCGTTGACGTTCCGTCGCATTAGCAGTCTCTCGTCTGTTTCTAAACGAGACAATTAAAAACTATCTTGTGCCTATAATGTCATTGCTGGCATTAAGCTGGCTCTGATTATTTAGAACTAAATGGAAATTTTTAATTATCAACTAAAATAGAAGAAAATAGTCCAATTTAATGGTAATTTTAAATATTTTTTTAACTATTTATGGAAGATTGGTAGTAGATACACTATCACTATCTACTATTATTTATTCTAATATATACTAGGGATATTAGTATGTCAATATAATATGTTATCAGTTATTCCTTAATCCTTATCTATTATTATAATTTTTATAATATTTGATAATTGAAATATAATTAAACAATGTACTTGAAAACTTGTATTAATTTTTATATTTGTATTCAACAGTTCAACACACCTAAAACTAATTTATTGTTGATTCAATTTGAAAAATTTCTAAAACATATATTTAATATTTATACCTGACGATTATTTATTGGTGATACATATTATCTACAATAAACTTACCTATACCTATTTAAATAAATACCACTTAATTATAATTTCTTGTAGTAAAATACTATTCACGGCAATCTTAAAAATAAAACCATGTATATTTATTTGAAATAGGTAAAAAAATCTTTAAAGTATAGTATAATGTCATTAAAGTCAAACAAAATTATAATCGCACAAATTTAATACTTATTCAAGTCATTTAGATTAGAAACGAATAAGTAATAATAGTTAGGTATAACTTTTTTTTTTTGATATTTGTGTATTTTACAACTTCTGGTCTATCACAAAATGTAGGTACTAATGAAATGTAAAGCGATGAGTATGTAAACTTTTTTTATAATGGTAGTTTGGCATATTATTATAACTAAAATTATTTCTATTCTGTTTTATGACTACCTACCGATGGCAGGTGCCAAAACAAATTTATATACGACAAATTAATTTAAATTTGAAAACAGTTGTCACTGTTGTGGGTATCTTAGTCAATTTATTACTGTGCCACCCGAACGTTTATCCGAACAAAATAACAAAATAAATTAAATATCATACATAATGTGTATAAGTATAAATAAAAATATCTTTGTAAACTGAGTAGCGACGTCTATGTCAAAATATGTGTGACGCTCGTACCGTTTCCGACAGCAGTCCTCACCACATCCCTCAGTTCATTTTTTTACAGCCTAAATTTATGCCAATAAAATATATACAAATATACCAGTTAAAAATAACGATTTTTTTCCTTGATTTGAAAAAAAATCTAAAAATCCTATCAATCTCTTTTTTTAATCCTACACCACTTTGGACCTCAACTATATAAGTAATTTGTATTGAAACCAACTGACTGTCAAAGGACTTAAAAAGTTATTTGTCTAATTAGCAGAACTTATATATATAAAAACAAAAATAAAATGTTCACATCGCAGAATATAACACGTTTGTTTGAAAAAAATACCGTTAAGGCGTACATTTATACAATGATACTATTATTATCACAGCTAGTATCCCACCATAATAATAATTATACATATGTGTTTTACTATATAATATTTAATAAAGTGTATACTGAAATATTATTCATTTCATGATTCAAAAAAATGATGATATTAAAAATTATATTACGAATAGGTATGCGATTTGAAATTTGATGAAACAAATGTATTGATTTGAAATTTAATAATAAGGACTTTGTTTAAAATGCAGCAGTAATCCTTTGTACTTAATGAAATTATGTGTAATGTATATATATATATATATATATATACTGTATAATATAACAATTTTGTATTCGTTCAAGCGACTGACTAGCCGTCCCTGTTAGAATGATAAATGTGCATCATACTGTCTCACAAATCATCGAGGTCACGTAGACAAAAATCCTACTGGATCAGCTAACTTTTAAGAAAAAAAACTACCCATAAAACATCTAGACATACTAATTACGTGTCGTTAACCTAAAAATAAAATTAATGTTCTCTTAATATTTACAAATTTAGGATTTATGTTTATAAATAATTTCATTTTAATAGGAGGTACCTATTTCCATGTAATTATGTAAATATAATATATTTGTAGAAAACTTTAAGTCATTTTGTAAAGTTATCGTGATCTGCAGTAGGTACATAATAATTTTCATAGTTAATACTTCCTAACCTCAAAAAATTATAATCAAATAATTTCATAAAAAACATGCATGGCTTTTGGTTATTAATTTGTTATTTAATTTAATAATATATTATAGTTTAATTTCTTAATAAGTTATAAATAAAATAAGAATGCATAATTATTAGTGTTTGTTTACAAATAAATAAATACATATTGAATATCTTAAGACATTGAATGTCATAAAAGGAAAGCACCTATTTTTTTAAAGTGAATTTCTCTTAAATTATAGTATACTATATTTTACAAATCTTCTATTGCATTAAATCGAATACACAAAATAAATAAGTATCCGATATATTTAATTAAAAATTTTATTTTTATATTCTACCTATTATCTCGCACCTTAATTTAAATACAAAAATATTAAAAATATTTTGATGGACAAATGAGAGCTATATGTCTGAAATAGCTCGTAATAATATAGTAAACATTTTTTCAATGAACTTATGAAACTTGGATGCCGACCTATTTTTTCCCATGGGATTACAACGGTTTCGAGTGGTTTTCGAAATCCTAACCGTGGGTACCGATTTTTAATCACTAAACACGTCAACGGAATGCGCTACTTCTATACATTTTTCATCCACTAAAAATAATATTGTAAAGTGGGTAAACGCATGTATTATTAAGTACAAAACAACCGATTTCAACACCTTGTTTTCAGTATACGAGTATCTCACGTAACTTCAGCTAATTATTGTAGAATACACGCACATGTAATAAATTTGGTTAAATATCTAAAATCATCGATTTTATAAATTATAAGTTATATTTTTTGTTTATTTATATGATAGCTGGTAAAGGATTTTTTAGATTTTATTTTTTATTTTTTTATCTTATACCTACCTACTATAATTTTTTCTAGTTTTTTCTAGGTTTAAATATAATATGTATTCCATATTATCGTATTAAATATAGTGTAAAATGAGATTTCTTTAGTTCATATTTCATATTTTATTTATGTATTTTCAATTTGGTCAGCTTGGTAATTTTTATTTCGAATCTGTACCACTTAAGGATGATGTATGCCAATACAAATTTCTGTTTTTTCAAAACGCCCCCCCCCCCCTTATAAATTTTAATTATTCAGCAGATATTTTTTTTTGAGGATTTCGAAGTTAATTTGAAATCAAAATTCGAAAGAGTAGTTTTTGAGTTACATAACTGTGTGTACTAGGTGTCTATGCTGTAATGGGTTAAGTAGAGATATAGTCCTGGAGGCTTAAGTAATTTGAAAATGTTAGTAATTACTATTAATCAATTAATATAAATAGTTTGCAAAAATTGCCCAAGTATAATAAATACTACATTTAATAATACATATAGTTTTTTTTTCTAAAAACATTTTTAAGGATTATTATCCTTAGTATAAACATTTTAATAACTCAGAAACTAAGCAACAGAATTTTGTTTTAGATACATCAACATTTTCAAGAAAATCATTCTCTAAATAATTTGCAGTAATTGTGGGGGGGGGGGGGTTCTTATTTAAATAATAAAAGTTTGTATCACCACATGAAGCTACTTGAGCCTTAAGTAGTATAAAAAACATTGGGAATTTGAAAATATGGTCTTAGGTACAGGTAAACTTAAAAATTCTTATGATCAGAATTGTATACCTAAATGTAATATTAAAGGTAAAATGTTAAATGAGGGTGAGCATGTTAGCAAATCACCCTGTATAAAAATATGATTGTATAGACATAAATATTGAAATAACATTGTATATTAATAAATAAGCGTCTCTTCTATCGACAGGTGTGATGGAGAACATGTACAACAGCGACAGTTCCTCATCTGCTTCGCCGCCACACATGCAGGCTACGACGCACGGCCAACACCAAATGCCTCTGAATGCATCGACAGCGGCTACTACCGCAACCGTACCGGTCACGCCTTACCTAAGCCAAGTGTGCAATTATGGACCGATATTCGCATCGCCTGCATATGCACATCATAACTACTCGCCGTTTCATGGATATGACAGGTATCTAAATACTTACGTAATACTATAATATAATGTTAGAGAATCTATACACCTAATAAAGATGAGAAAGTTAATGAAAACAATTAAATGAAGTTAAGTTAAGTTAGAAATTAATAGTCAACAGATAGGTCATACGTACATTTTATAGTTAATATGAAAAAAACATAATATTAATTTACTTAACTAAGTTTAAAATAATTAATATACTTTTTCAATTAGCGCAATATACATGTAAAACAGTATAAAGAGATCTGTGTGTAATATTATTTTATCAAATATAATTTAAATATAGTACTCATTAGATTATTGTTATTTATAACAAATGTATACAACAATTAATGTATAAGACTATTAAAACCAAAAATGTCGAAAACATTTTTAGCTGATGTAACTTGATATATTATTTTAAAATCAACTGAAAAAAGTCAAGTTGAATAGGCGATCATACTTAAACTATAAAGTTCTTAAGGTTATCAGAAAATTAACTAACAATTTAAAGAATAAAAAGTTTAAAACAATTTTTATCTACCTATATATATATTAATGCTAGTTAATAAGTAATTTTAATGCCTACATTTGGTAATAATGTAGTATAGTATATAATATAATATATAAGAAGTGTCAACAATGGCGTATCTATAACTGAGGTGACTATAGCATCACCTGGTCCTGTAACCGGTGTCGTGTCCTAATCAAAGGTGTGCATGCATAATGCATGTCAATGTTTCCACCACTAATCGACCACATTTACCAACCTACTATAGCATCACCTGGTCCTGTAACCGGTGTCGTGTCCTAATCAAAGGTGTGCATGCATAATGCATGTCAATGTTTCCACCACTAATCGACCACATTTACCAACCTATAGACGAATATTGACTACCCTAGTAATTGTAAATGAATTATAAAAGACTAAAAATTCATTTAGCTGATGTATGGGTAGCAAGGACAATAACGAAAGGTCAAAATTAGCGCTGGAATCACAATAAAGACGAAAAGCGTTACGGTGGCGCTAGCCGATTGTCTATATATAATTAATATAAATATATATATATACACATCGTAGCACTAAATATTATTGTCGCTGTCGGGCTGACATAAGAACTCTAACTATACGTCACGAGTGAAATGTACCGTGCAAACAAAATAATTGCGTCTATTAGTATGCACAGAAAACGATGTAGAGCAGGACGAGTAGGTACATCTTAATCGTCTAAGACAAAGAATTCTAACATCCAAGTAGTATCTAAGGACATGTAATTGACTGAACTGTTGTTACAGGTTTGTGAATATTCACACACATTTACATTCGTAAATAAAATAGTGTAATGGGTACTGAAATTAGTTTCATATATTGATATTTTTGAAATAATAATATTTTGTTTCAAAAAATGTAATAATTAAGTATTTCGTATTATTGCAATGTAATGTACAAAAACAACATTTACATAACATATTTAAACATAATTTATATTATATACCTATTATAATTGCCTTAAGGGAATTCTACCGACCGTTTTTTAGAAATTCAATACAGAAATTGTCTATGTTTTGACGTCATACATACGTATTGGCGTGTTCTTGTGAGTTGTGAGTCTGTTCGTATTTACATTGCAGTGCTGTAAAAATTATGACAGTTTGACAGAGCGCTATTCAAAACATATTGAAATTTGTTATGAAATTTACTTGAAATTGATTTTTCTTTAAATTGTTGTATATTTTTCTTGTGTAAAAATATCATTCATTTTTATATTTCAAAATAAAATTTAAGAGGTAGACTTGAATCGAAATTTGATTAAGTAGGATGATCCATCTCAAGTAAAATATTTAATGAATTTAATCGTGTTTTCAGATTTAGTATTATTAGTGAATGTTTTCATAAAAAATAACTTAAAAAAACGGTTGGGTATTGATTCCCTTTAAGTTGATCCGTTACAATCTAAATGCTATTGGTTTACTAAGCAGTCACCTTCAATTAAAATAAATTTAAATTTAAATCAATATTATAATAACGGATAACGTAATATAGTATTAACATTATGATATTGATGATAATATAATAAATATTTATTTATAATTTTTATTTTATAAATAAGAAGTAAGAATTTTATAATTTGTTTTTTTATTCTTTTACCTATATAGACTACATCAAAAGAATTCTAACACTGAGATAGCGACCGGATACCATATGTCTTACCAGCACCATTACCACCATAGGCCTTCCACATTTCATGGAGCTCAAAAAACATCCAATACATATTTGCAAAATGATTACGCGCCCAGGTAAAAGGCGTTCTTGTCGAAACAGTAACTAATTAGAGTAATATCTATTTAATGTATGTATAGATATTTGTAAATATTAAGTTGTAAAAAATCAATTTAGGTGGAATTAAAATTTGTATTTATTCATAAATTATAAAACGGGATTGTATACTTATGTAAATAGGATATAGAAAATTATAACGTCTAATGAATTTAATTTTAATTACTAAATTTAAACTTTTGTAAAAAAATTTGTTTAGAATTGTAATAAAACGGAAAGGATGACGAATGTTTGAAAATTTGAATTATAATAATTGATAGTTTTAACTGCCTATACTATGAACTATAGGCTTATAACTATATAAGAGTAAGTAAGTTCCAGATTTTAAACTATATATATATTTTCTATCGTGTTTTTATTATAATTAAATTATTAGTGTGGTATACATAATGATAATATAATATGAACGTAATGTTAATATTGTAATAATACAGTACTTTATTTTTGTAATTAATTCGTTGTATTAAGACAGCAACATCGTCACGGATTTGCAAATGTCATTTCTTCATTTGTTTAGTTTACTTCGTTTATACTCAACAACAGCGACATGTTTACTTTACACTACAGATGTAATTCAAAATATCTTCAAAATTATATAGTATTATAATATTTTACTTTATATTATTGAAACAAAAGCCATTACTGCAGCGTGTCCCGGTGGTTTCGTTTCTGGTTAGAATGTTGATTACCTTTGGAATACAAAATACAAGAAACATGTCGAGTTTTGAACACCCTCATAACATCTTCCACGTAAATGTGTTGCAATGACTGATGGCGGGTAGGTGCAGAGGTCGCGTGTGCCTGTTCCCGATACCACCCGTGTGTTTCCCGCAGCCCATTAAGGGGTAGAAATCACTCTACCCCTGTCCCCCAGCCGCCGGAGTCTAAACGATTTTTACAAGGCGACGGTTTTAGTTTCCGTGCACTAACGTTTAATCATTATCGAGGTCGTCGGGGACTCAAAACATAACATCGTCCCTTGACTATTTATTTTAATTTCAGAGATTTATTTTCACATAAACATTGGGTTCAAAAACTCCAGAAAGAATATCAATCACTTCAAACTCAAATACTACACCGTGTAAACCTATTTGATGTATATTTTTTCTTCACAAAAGGTATAAGTCATGATTCGGTTACCGTATTTTATTTCGTTTTTACGCGAAATTCCAATTGAAAACATACGATTTATTATTATCTTTATAAATTATTAAGATCGGTAGATTACATTGGAAAATAATTTTGCACGGATATCATATATTTCTTTTTGCAATGTCTTAGTCTTGCAAGTCATAAAGTATAGTTAGTCGTGTGTACGTGTATAATATGGGTCGTTTTTATTTTAATGACTTAACCACATTGAGACGTCATCAAGATCTACAATATATAGATTTTATTTATTTTTCATGACACCGCTTGTACATTTTTAATGTCACTGCTCACAACTGTACGTGTAAGGCCTTCGCAAATATTATTAAGTACATTAGGTGCTAAGATTAGTGTTGGTAAACGGCACAATGGCAATGCGTTAATGGCCGTTAATATACTTATACGACTTGCAAAGGGCATGACGATATACTACATTAAGTTCACATGCCCGCGAGTATTGAAGTCGTACTACCAACCATGTCGACATAAAAAAAAACTTCAAAAGAACTTGTTTTATAGGCTCAGTTTTTATTCTGTTATATGGTTATATTAATGTTAAATATAATATATATATCGGGTGCTGTTTCAACCCATCACTATTTCGATTGTAAAGTAGGTAGGTATAGTTTTCTAATAGATGATCGAATCCTAAAAAGTTGTGTCCTTACCTACGATGTACTATATTACTTGTATATAATATTATTTTTATAATTTAATAATAGTATAAATATTATTACCAGAATTCAAATTACCAAATCGATAGAGTAAATAATAATTAAATGTATAAGTATGTATCAATGTATTATATATTTATATGCGTAATATTATAGGGATGACATCGGGTGGGCCAACTATGCCAACTATGTATACTATACTTTAACAGTTACATAGTAGGTACCTATATATATATATATATATACTTAACCTATATAGTATATATACTTCGACCGACGTTCTACGGTGCAACTGTGTGCAATTATGTATAGGAATAGTGGAAACCATTATATAAGTATAGGTACATTAGCAATGACTACAAAAAATCAGAGAATGTTTCGGGAGGTGTTTGGACACCAAAAACACTAATGGGGTGCCTAAATGTATTGTACGAATATATTTAATGTGACGTGTCAATCTATATGATTCGTACGCTGCAGCGTGCCTATATACTTATACACACATTACAATAATTAAATAAATACCTATACCTATACATATTTCCTGAAAGTTCTCTTTGAAATTAGTATTGCCGTACTACATATAGGTGTAATAATAATAATAATATGTTTTATTCGAAATCGTCATAATATTATTCTCTCTTTTCAGTCACATACACCGCCGTGTTATTATGGTCCATGCCAACGAAAATATTGGGGTTAATAACAAACATGTGCCGCTGAGGCGGCGGTGGCGGCGGCTGTTGCTTCGGCGGTGGTGCAATGCGCGCGGCGGCAGATAAAGTAGTTAATATTATTTAGTGAGACACAAAGCTCTATTTCGTCTCAGAGTCTGATTGTAATTTACAACGATTTGTATCTACAAATAGACGAGCCACCGTCGCGAGGAATGCCGTGTGTGCGCTTTGCGCGGTCGTTTTTGGCGGGTGCAACATCGGTGCAGTAAATATTTAATATATATAAAGCATATATTATAAACACATTTAAACCGATGCTGGGCAAGTTAACGACTTTTTTAAGTCAAGTTAGCGAAATCAGAGCTATATTAAGTTGAAAATTAACTAATATATTTTTTTATAACTTCGTCGAGTTAAAAATTAACTAAATATTTAAAAATTGTCTAACGGGTAAGAAAAATAGGTTACCGACAAAATTAAAGGTGAATTTGGAAATCATTTCAAGCTCAGGGTTCTGTTCGTAGGAGGCATAGCCACTATAGGAACAGTCGCAGATAATTTAAGGTCAGTTGAGAAGGGGTCAGCAAAAATAGTATAAATACAACTGATACAAATTCTAGTACCTATATGGTTATATAGTGCCTAAATGACCTATATAGTTTTACGCTATTAGCTGATACACATCAATATTTATTATTTTCTATTTTGTACATCCGATTTTCATATCCAAATATTTTTAAACAATTTTTTCATGAGAATAAATTTAAGTAGCAGCGTATTGCTCGGTGTGCATGTGTGTAATGGTTACAAGAACATTTAAAGAACATTTAGCTACACGAATACGTAAACACGTGGTATATATTATATTTAGATATAATATACGAAATCAGAAAATTATATTATACGACTAAATTGATTTTTTAATAAAATAACCTAATATTACATTACATATTATCATGTCCAATGTTCATATTAGAACTATGTTCATCAAGCTCAGGGTTTTTGTTGAAGGGGGAGGGCTTACAAATTTACCTACTTTCCTGTTATTAATACTAATTAATAATCCATATTATTATACCTATATGTATTTCCTTTATCAAAATATTAAATGTTTATTGTCATTCAGAATCTCTTATATTTGGCTACATAATATCACTAGTATTTTAACTACATAGAACTCAGTGGATATGTCAAATCTAGAATAGTAGAATTCCTATTTTCTTGATAGAAAACATAAACATGTTTAGCCTATAGCCGTTCAAATCACAATATATTAATCAGTAGGTATTAAACAAAATATAACGTGTTACAGACAACAGCCTATAAAATATACGGAAACATGTTTCTATATAATAGCTACCTGTCGCAGCCTCTTGAGACTTGAATACGAGGAGGCGACGTGATCATCGTAATATTATTATACCAATAGCGTTTTTAAATGCGTTTCAAGTGCGTGTAACCGAGAAACAATATCTATAGTGCCTGTAATATTGCACAAATTGAGTATTATAACAATATAATTCATTACACGACTTAAAATATAAGTTAAATACATTATATTTTACTTAATAGTTTTATACACAAAGGCAATTCTATCGAATTCGAGATTTTTCGGATCCATCAATTCTCAGTTACAGCATTTTATTTTAGCCGATTTTAATTTTTTTTAATATTTATAATATAAATGTACATATATATACTTGATTATTATTTTAACAGTAAACATCGTTGTATCAAAAAGTATTTTCGTTATAGACATTTTTTTTTTTGCATAGGTAATTTAAAGTTACCTACTTAGTTACTACATTATCCTTTATAATTTATAAACAATTAAAAGTCAAAAAAAGCAGTCACTGTATAGTATTGGGTATTGAGAGAAAATCGGAAAAAAATGTCTTGGTAAAAGACCCCGGATAAAAGTTCCTTCGTTGCATTATACATAAAACAGTTATGTTGTAAGTTGTAACTGTTTAAAATTTAAAAAGTAATCGTAAGATGATCTTTTCAAATATTTGCATCATCATTCAATATCATATTAATATGTATTATATTTTAATCAAAATATTCTTAACATTAATCATTATCATTATTAGATATTTGTGTTATTTTATTTTCAAGCTGTTTGACTCAAACATAAGTAAAACAATTCAAATGTCAATAAATAGTCAAATATTCATATTTTGAAAAATGTATCATATCTAGATAACTAGTGAAGATTTTAAGTAAGTAATTCGTTTTAGTTTAATAAAATAAATATTGTCTGCAAAAATTGATGTTTGCGTAAATAATGCAGTTTTATCCCAGTATTTGTCAATTTTTCCGTTTATTTTTAAGAATACAGAACATTTTTTTCTTTCTATCTCACGAGTTCAAATCAATAAAGCTAATTTGGTATCAAAAAACAATAACCAGTCTTCATATTGAAGATTAAAGCATTTTATCTGATGCAAAAAATGCTTTCAAAAATAGCTAGCCATCGGGTACACAACAAAAGTAAAAATACACAATGTATTATCGTAAGACTATAGTCTATAATACACACGTCGCTCTGCTTGGAATCAAAATTTGAAAAAGTAAGTAGGTACTTATTATTAAATGATAATTATAAATGTAGGTCTTTAAAAAAAAATTATTTATTATAATATCATATAACTATGAATTTGTGACGGAAAAACCGATACAAATTTCTCTCACAGCTTGGCGAATATTATACAAACATGCATTTAAATAAAATTGAAGTAGATTCATTTCTTGTTTTGTTCATTATGATATGGAGATTTCTAATTTGATATATTTTCACTAATTTTACTACTGAAATTATTTGAGGGCAAAAAGACCCATACGACTTAATAAATATCAATATTTTTAGACAGCTACAGACAATTGGTAAAAAAATATTTATTTTATAGATACTACTGCGTACCACAGTATGATATTATTATTAGTGATTACTTATATTTCTAAGCTATAATACTCAAAGCTAACTTGGTAATTATTTGTTTTTTAATGTTGTGCCCTATGTTGTACCCATGAAAAAAATAAACTTTATGGGTAAAATTAATATTTTTAGTAGATACCCCTGTAGAGACAATATATAATCAGTAGATATTCATTGTAATTTTTTCTGTATATCATCTTCAGCAGTAGCTAGGTTTTAATGGCTAGGTATTAATAATACTGTAAATACATTAGAAACACTAACAGACAACAAGCTGTTAAATGAAATATGAATAATTCACAGAAATACGGTGAATTAAATTTACAAAATACTATTCGAGTTCAGCTGTGATTGTCATTTGACAGTCGTCAGTCGTCACTGTACGGCATAGAATTAAGTCGGTGCGTCGCATTTTTTCAGAAGATTATACACGTGCCGGGCAGAACTTCAAGGTAAGAAGCATACAGCATTATTATAGCTTTAGTCTCCTATAATATTATATAATATTATATCCATAGATCTTAGGATCCCTGTAGGAAAATAGTGCACTTTCATAGTTTTGTACGACTCTTTAATCATCGCTTATTTTATTTATATGTAGCGCCTATATTATAGTTTATCAGCTTATATACAATATATATAGAAGTAGAATTGTTTCCCGGATATATCGCATCCACCAAGTATATAAAGTATATAATTATCAACATATAGTATAGTTGTAAAACAATTATGTCATTGTATAAGAGTTTAGATTACCTACATTTTGAAATTGTATTTAGATTATGATGATCAATGAACATATTGATTTTGCAAATTGGTGTTTTTAGTCATGGAACACCTTTTAGATCAGTAAAAATGTTGGGAAGCAAAAATTAGAAATTGCCCATTATTTTTTAAAGTTAATCGGGAAAAACTAAATTACGAAAACACGAGAATATATTTACAGAAAACACGTTTTTTGACAAAATCGAAATTGTATTTTTTTTTTGTGTCAACCCAAAAACAAATTATCGTTGATCCTTGAAGTATTTATCAGAAGTAGAGAAGTACAGAAAAAACACCATTTCACTGCTTCTCAATTCCTCATTGGTAAACATGATCAATAGACTTTCCCGTTTCAATACATTATTCTTGATCTTCTTTACATTTAGAATTTTTTTCTTTTTTATACTTAAGTTTTAAAGACTGTTCATCTTAGACTACTTTTGATTTTGAAATTTTTTTGGGTTTATATCAATCTTTCAATTAGACCTTCTTCAGATTCTATCAGTCTAATATACGTTTGAAAAATGTAATCAAATATAAAAAATGTATTATGAAAACTAACCTGTTCATCTTTCTAATCAAACAAATTCTAACATAATATTATAACAATAATTCTTCATTTGATCCTCCAAATTGGCTTATAAATTAATGTATACTATGTTACAGTGTAACCAACAAAATATTTTAAAATAGTACAATTGAATGACACTTGTATGGACTTCAAATTCCGTGGTTTTTGTCCGACTATCTATATATATATACTATGCCAATTTGTATTTTGTAGTCCAAATACTTTTTCAACGAAAAGTAGAGAAGTAATAATAACTAATAAGTAATTGTCAACTAAAAATCTACAAAATTAAAACTATATCCAAAATATGTCAGATAAGAAATGCATTTTTTTCATTTTTTAAAGCATTGTAAAATATAAAACAAACCATTGAGTTGTTTACAAATAGCTACAAATATAGTACCTAATATAGTGTATTTTGTATTCCTAATTAGTAATTAGTAATACAAAATATATATTTAGATATTTTTCAACATTATATATATATATATATATGGTTAAGCGGTTGTATAAATAATAACTAAAATAATAGTCATTTCATAATTCATTTTAAAACACACACGCGGACCGCCACACACACACACACACGTATATATATATATAAATTAAACATGATACCTATTACTATGATTTATGGGTTGGGCCTCCCCGAACACACGAATATATACGAGCTCGGTGACGGTGATATTATGGTCACCTCCAAGCTCACTGGACTATGTGTGTATAATACTAAACAGTACATTTATATTATCTGCAGGACATTTATAATTCGTTTGACTGGCAGCTGGCGATCCGATTTGTACCTACCTATAATGTTTATTTTTCCCACCAGTACCAGGTGTTTACAGATGGTAAAAAATAATTTAAATCACTTGAGGTATAATAATTATTATTTCAAGTCGACCTATTAGTCTTATCTCTTATGATACCTGTAATAATATTATCTGGAGTACCCGAGTAAACGTTATAGATAAATTACTATAATGCTGCATTTATACAAATACTACATTACCTTCATAAAAGTTTACTGAGGTAGAACTTTTACACATTATCCATGTATTTTATTATGAGATATTAAATTTAATATTTATTTTATATCTTCGTCTATTTTTGTATCGAACTTAAATATAGAAATTTTGAATTTACTTTCTCACATGCGAAATACATTTAAGAAAGACAATTTTGCTTAAATAAAAATGTCTCAAAAATATATCTAGTGCTAGAAGGTACAATATATTTTTATTTACGATAGTATAATTTACAGTCAACTTATTGAGAGGTATACATACATAATAGTAATTACTATACCGTCTTGTATTTACAAGACACTTATGACTTATAAGTTATAAGTAATATGGGATCTATGTTTTTCTTTTAGATGTATAAAAAAAACTGTTACAGTTTACGTTTGAAATTTTAAAAAATATACTTCACTTAAATATGAACTGTGTAAATAAATTATGAGCTAAATGTTAGTAGATTAGTAGTATGTATTAATGTATTAAAACTATAACAATATATTTGTAGGCGGGTGAAAATAAACAAAAATAAAATATGGTGCTATTTCGCGGTGTGTATAGGTTTTAATACACTTTAGTTCACCGTAAAATCGTCATCAGTATACCTTTATATTAATGAACTAATTCCGCCGAGATGGACAATCTTCCCCTGGTGATGGAGTGGACATTGCATTTGGTATGATAAATAAAATATTGTTTTCATTTATTAAAAAAAAAAAATGACTGTAACCTGCATTGTCAACTCTATTTATAAACCAAAAATTACTAGTTTTGCATAAGCCAAAACGAAATTCATGTTTGAGTCACCCTATAGAATAAAGTTAAAATATAAAAAAGAAGCTAAAAACATCCACATAGTCTCAGAGAATCTACTGAGGTGCGCTTCAAAACTTTGCTTGAAATCTGCTCGTCCAAACTGTATACAAACTCTTCAATATTGTGTACCAGGTACCTGCAATAGCCCAATATAGATTATCATATTTGTTTATTGTGTATATATAGCAAATGTCGTAAAATATTATGTTATTTTAAAACAAAATAAAATAAAGATGTATTTATACCACAACTAAGGTGCCTACCTGCCACTACATTTAGTCACGCCAATGCGTCATCTCAGCACAGGTAAAACAAGGGGTAAAACCACACGAGACACGATCGTAAAGCCATATAATAATACGATCGTCATCGATTCGTGGCACAGCAGCCGCGCGTATATAATGTCATAATATATTGTACGTGTCGCGCGTGATGGACGTGTCGGCGGGTTAGGTGCATTCGGCCGTGCAAAGGAATAAGAAAAAAAAATAAAAAAAAAATGTATATATCATCGCCGGCGGTAAATCATCTGGCCGACTGTTTCGATCCCGTTTTTTTTTTCGTTTTCTTTTAACGACTTCCCGATACATTATTATGTGTGTGCATTATACGCGCTCACCTCTGCGCACATTATAACATATATATATATATACATACATGCGCGTTCTGCAGACAGATTGCTTATTTTCGTACCCTATCCCTTATTAATAATCGTAAAAAGTCCGACGCGTCTGGTCCGGGGGATGGTTTTTTCTTCTCTCGGTTTTTTTTCTCCCCCTTCTCCATACGCGGTATTATATACGTATACCTACCGCGCGTAACACAACACCCATCGTCGTAGTGTATACACACGACACACGCTGCGGTAGATATATTATATTAAATATAAACATAATAATATACACACATATATTACATTCACGAGGTATAAACAAATGTGCGCCCAGAGATTGTTGTATATTATATCTTACGCGCACATAATATACCTCCTCGTTAGCCGCAACGTGCGTTTTTTTTTTTTTTTAGTTTTTTCGTCTGTTATTTGCATGCCACTTGAACACGTCCACCATATTAATAATATATAGTCCTCTCGCGTGCGATCAGCCCGTACGGGTCGCGGATCGTGTGTGGTTGTGGGTCAATATGCCGAAAAATCACTATAGGTGGTGTATATTGTATCATAAAAAATGTTTACCGATGTGTCATATTTTATGCTATTGTAAATAACACAGCTGTAGGTTGAATTTTTGATCTCCGCTTATAACGTACGAACACGGTATATTATTACAATAATATAATATGTGAAGATATAATATTATACCGGTCTGCTATCGGAGCCGCCGTAAGACCGTTAATATAAGTTTATTTTTGAATAATTGTTAAAAAAATTATTTAGGTATTACAAAAAAAGACAACGATCAAAATATCGAAAATTGTATTGTTTAATTTGAAATTACGGTAATAATTAAAATATTTATGTAATATCAAGTATGGTCAGAGACGAAAATTAAAAAATATGTTTAAACTTTAAAATGATCCTTTTCACTAAGTTTTGGATGCCACATTAACTCTGCCAAATAGAGTCTTAGAAAATTTCGAGCAGTACTTATTAGTTCGTTCCCTCCCATTTTGAAAAACATCCCAATTTTTCTACACGTTTTGGGTGTGAACTCCAGAGACAAAGTTGTACTCATATATAATATGGTTAACTCAAGTAACTTATTGACATTGATGACAACCTATACCTCTTTAATATTATCGTACGATTTCCAGCAGTCCAAAAATGTTTTAGATATACCTTTAATTGTTTTCTTTTTTTATACATGTTTTACAGGTTTTTTACTAAACTATGTATAACTTTACACTCGTGTTTATTTTATATTATTCAAATTATGTAGTAATCAACTATTAGATTTACGTTCACGCTTTTCAGTCTTATGATAATATGTATTGATATTTTATTGTTTATTAATTATTTTATCTTATATTTTTTTTAAATGTAGATTTTTATCTGTCTGTCTCTGATATGAAATGAAGTATCTTATTTATTTATTTCTATTGTTAAACCTCTCTGCTCCACCACAAGCTTGCTTAAAGGAGTAGATATATTAAAATCTTTATTTGTATTTATATTATATATATATATAATGTTAATGTATTATATCTAATAAAGATTTAAAAAAAATACCTATAACAATACATAATATATAGGTATATAATTGTTTCTGTGTGTTGTATACAAATAATCACAGAGTCTGGTGATTATATCATGAGTCTGCTA